TATCCAATCATATATCTTCCACCCCTTGGTGTCGTGTGGATATCCCACAAAAACTCCTTTTCTGCTACGTGGTGAGAATTTATTTTCTCGGGATTTAACATTAATTATGAGCATAGCAAAGACAACCAAACACACGTAGGTAAGCAAAATTGGGGGGTACACCATGCAAGACCTCATATGGGGTTCGGCCACTCAATAAACCCGATGGTGTACGATTTATGAGGTGAACCGCCGTGAGAACACATTCACCCCATAAACCAAGCGGTACATTAGCCTGAAACATTAGAGCACGCGCGACATTTAAAATGTGACGATGTTTACGCTCCACTCTCCCATTTTGTTGAGGTGTATAAACACATGAGGTTTGGAAAAGAATACCTCGTGCATTAAAATGAGGCAACATGCATTTAAATTCAGTCCCATTATCACTTCGCACAGTTTTTACAGACACATCAAATTGCTGAGCAACCATAGCAAGGAAAGATAAAAAGTATCCATGAACCTCCTTTTTATCCCGAAGTAGATATACCCACACAGCCCAGGAATAATCATCCACAAGAGTCAAAAAATAAATTGCATCACAAGTTGAAGGAGTTTTATAAGGTCCCCATAAATCACAGTGAATAAGCTCAAAAATCCTACTAGCTTTATTGTCACTAATAGGAAAAGAATCACGTGTTTGCTTTGCTTGCGGACATATGTCACAAGGTTTATTTAATTTTTTCTGTGAATTACTAGAAATAACAGCAGGTAGTAATTGAAGAACCCGGTCAGATGGATGACCCAAACGGCGATGCCATAATTCAAACAGAGATAAAGTAGGTGATGGATGAACATGATGCAAAGCAGGAACCCTTCTGAAGAAAAATAGCCCATCCCGTCGTTCACCTGCTCCAATCAGGTTCCTCGAGCGTAGGTCCTGTATAGCACAAAAATTATTATTAAAAGTGACAATGCCAGCAGACTGATCTGTTAATTGCGAGACAGAAATAAGATGACAATTGAGGCCTGGCACATAAAGAACATGATCCAATGTTAATGTCTCCGATAATGGCACACGGCCAGTCACAATTGCCTCAACCGTGCGGCCATCCGGCAATCCCACCGGACACGAAGTAATACGTGCTGGATTAACGAGACAACTGATATCACCTGTCACATGATGTGATGCGCCAGTATCGATGATCCAATTAAGAGAAGAATACATACCCGACATGCGGTCACATGAGCGAGTTTCGGCGTTAATTAAGTTCAATAAAGCCTGCACCTGCTCAGTAGTCAAATTGGCCAAACTGGTTATGCCTGCCGCAGAGGATGAAGACCCTTCCCCTTCTGGCAGCAAAGCCGGAGCTACTGCGTGAGTACGTGCACCTCCCCCACACCCGGAAGATTGTGTTTTGCCTTTGTTTCGTTCCTCCCACCAGTCGGGATACCCAATTAATTTGAAACATGACCCGACATCGTGACCTTTCTGTTTGCAGTGGGTACAAACGGACCGAGATCGGTCAGTCTTCTCCGGTCGTCCTTTGGGTCCGCGGTCAACCTGCAGGGAAAAAGCAGCAACTTCAGTCGAGGTTGCCTTTCCACGTGCTATGGCCCTGGAGTTTTCTTCCTGCACAAAGGCATGATGCGCACGATTCACATCGGGCAGAGGGTTCTGGGATAGCAAATTAGATCGGACGGTCCCATAAAGTTCATCATCGATGCCTACTAAAAACTGATGCAGCCGTTCTTCCTCTCGATCAGCAGCTATTTTGCCAACAACATTGCACGTACAGAGACCACACGAGCAAGCAGGCAATGGTTCCAATCGGTATAGCTCATCGTAAAGCCCCATCAACAGAGTGTAGTATGCATCGACGGACATTCCTTTGGTTTGTTTACAACCTGTGATGGAAGCCTTTAATTGCTGCAAACGAGGTCCATTCGCCACACTAAACTGTTTCTCCAAATACACCCACAAAGTCTGGGCTTCTTCGTGATACGGTATAGATGCGGCGACCACCGATTCCATGCTCCGAAGCATCCATGACACAATCATGGAGTTATTTGCGTCCCAATCAGATTGTCTTGCTGCCTCGGCCGGTTTTTTCAACGTTCCGTCGACGTATACATGCTTCCGACGAGCCTTCAAGGATAAGAAAAATGCACGTGACCAAGCCACGTAATTATCTCCCTTAAAGATAACATGCGTTATTAGGTTTCCCGGCTGGTCTCCGGGTCCAAGATAGTATGGGGAAGAAGAGTCCACCATGATCGCCGAGCTTCAGCACGCTGGTGCCTTTTTCCGAAGTCGGCGTCGCTGGGAACGAAAGGGTTAAGCAGCCTGTTTTACAGGCTCTGATACCATGTTGTGGTAATTCACTCGTACGAAGCAATAGTTGGAAAATATGGGTTTGTTTATTCATTATGTTAAGGGGTTATTTATACAAGGAGAATACAACAAGTGAGCCCTTGGCCCATGTACAAAGTAATACACAAAGAATACATGAATGGGCTAAACCCAACTACGGTTAACACCGACTAGTTGACACAAATGATCCTCTATTTTTAACCACCGAAATGCTTTTTGTGTTAATATTATCAACGCAAAAAGAAATTTTTATTTGGACCTATTAGAAAATTGGTTTACGAATTAATATTTCGCCGGAACTAAAATATATGTAAGAGGTCCACTCATTTATGGTGGGATCAAGACCCACCCATGTACCCCAGGTGAACGTTGTCATTATTAAGTTGTGGAAACTCATTTTGAAATAAATAGAAATTGTTCCGTGAAGTCTCTCCAAAGCAAGTTTTGTATAGGAAACTTCTCACATGTGATGACATGAAAAGCAATTAGTCTTGCCCATTTTTTAAAAATCTACACTATGACTAATCACGAAGTGTGATGACATACTTTGTATTAGGAATTATGAGTCTTGAGGGAGTGTGAGGGTAGGATGTTTGATTATCTGCTTCTATGAAATTCATCTAAACATTCTCCTTTAAAATAGTGTTTTAATTGCTTTTAAAAAAAAGGCCCGACCCGCTATTTTCCGATTCTGGGCCGGTATCGGGTATCCAAGCAGTCGGGTCCCGCTCCCAGATCCGGCCGCGTTATATTTTTTTACCCGGCTTGAAGCTAACAAAAATTGTCCGTCTAGTACTGAAACCGAGACAGCCCAGCTTGGTCTCAAATATTGGAAACCGGGACCATGTATCCCTTTTACTCGGTCACCTGGCCTTGACCCAGGACCGGAAAACCGGATCCGGTTCGGTGCCAAATAGTACCGTAGCCGGTTCCGGACCAGGCCAGACAGCTGGACCAGGTTCATCCTATACCGCTGGGCGTTGGCTTCCATGATGTGCGTAAAAGGGAAAATGGAACAGGTAGTGAAACGGAGGGTAGTTGGGTGCATAATTGTTCTCTCCTCAATTATGAACAGCCAGAGAAGGTTTACCAGTCTATGCACTTGCGTCCTGCCACATTACTAAACACGGTTTTGCTCTAACAAAGCAGCTGAAAAATGCAAAAGATCATTTCACACTATATATATATAGAGAGAGTACTCTTCCGGTCAGGAATTCCTGACCGGAACCGCCGTCCGGACGGCGGCGTTTGGCCGCCTTCCGAGTGAAATTTTTCGATGAAATTTTAATGACATGTTTTTCATCAAGTCTAGTTTATCCACAAAAATTTTCAGCCAAAAACTCAAACGGGAAGGTCGTCAAATGATTTTTGCAAGTTAACTGGTCCGGAATATGTATTTTCCGGACCAGTTAACTTGCAAAAATCATTTGACGACCTTCCCGAATGAGTTTTTGGCTGAAATTTTTTGTGGATAAACTAGACTTGATGGAGAACATGCCATAATAATTTCATCAAAAAATGTCACCGGGAACTCGGGAAGGCGGCCAAACTCCACCGTCCGGACGGCGGTTCCTGTCCGGAATTCCGGACATGAATAAAATTCTATATATATATAGATATATATAGATATATATATATATATATATAGATTTTGGTTCAGGTGAGAAATGCATCTAATGTGAGAAATGAGAATGAATCTCAGTCATTGGATTTACGAAGTTGCACTAAAATTGGCTTTATGTTGCAGTAATATTTAAATTTTGCACATGTTGCACTAAAACTGTCTCATGTTGCACTAATATTTGACGGCATTGCACCGAAATAGCTTGATGTTGCACTAGACACGTGTAATACGGAATTTTCAGAAGTATTTACAGAAATGCCACCGTGCTAGATTGCATATTTCAGTGCATCATGAAGTGTCTTTTACTGCAACTTAGTCGAATCCAATGGCTGAGATTCATTCTCATTTCTCATTTCACATTATATATATATATATATATATATATATATATATATATATATATATATATACAGAAATGCTCAGGTCCCTCCGGAGGGACGGGAGCAGCCGTCCGAACTTCACTGTTTGGGGCGGTTCCCGGTGGAATTTTTTGATGAAATTTTTTGAGCATGTTCCTTATCAAGTCTAGTTTGTCCATACCAAATTTCAGCTCAAAATTCGACCGGGAAGGCAGTCAAATAAATTCTTGAAGCTTACTGCACATTCTGCGCATATATAAAGTGCATTAAGTTTTAAGAATTTATTTGACTGCCTTCCCGGTCGAATTTTGAGCTGAAATTTGGTATGGACAAACTAGACTTAATGAGGAACATGCTCAAAAAATTTCATCGAAAAATTCCACCGGGAACTGCCCCAAACAGTGAAGTTCGGACGGCTGCTCCCGTCCCTCCGGCTGGACCTGAGCAGTCCTCTATATATATATATATATATATATATATATATATAGGGGTGAGATCACATACAAACTAGTCTTCCCATGCTAACCTACAAACTATCACAAACTGTGCATCTTTACATTATTTGTACTGCATATTGAAGTTCAAAGTGTTGCATATTATTTGTACTGCATATTAAAGTTCAAAGTGTTGCATATTATTTGTAATGCATATTGAAATTCACAGTGTGCATCTTTACATTATTTTTACTGCATATTGAAGTTCAAAGTGTTGCATATTATTGAGTTTGTAGGTTAGTATTTTAAGCATGGTTTGTATTTGATCTCTTACCTATATATATATATTGAAGTGCCTTGCTGCTTCAGAGCAGAAGAAATCAGCTTCTTTCCATTACATATCATGAGTCATAACGGTTTTACGAGATGGATAAAACCAAGAGGCTTATCACTTAAAATAAACGTTTGCTGTTGATGAGGCACGACTAGAACTCAAAATAGCCTCCTTCATGTCTGCTTTCTCCCTGGACTGGAACCTTTTGCGACATAAAATAAACACCTTCTTACATGTTGGGAAGCAAGCTATGAGTCACATTATAAATTGCACTTCAGATTAGGACCCTGAGAATAAGTTGAGCTTTAAAGTTTGAAGGGCATTGTGTCTGTAATGTAGATTGAGATGTCCTTCCAAAAGATCGGAAACACTCTCACTACAATCAGGGGAGTCTGGCTCACGAAGCTACAGAAAAAAAGATGAATAAGATCGACTCGGCATTTAAACATAAAGAATAACAAATTGAATCTGTGATGGGCAGTCAATACTAAAAAATTCATGTGTGAAAAGTGAAAACAAGAATTACCCGAAAACATATCTCAAGTTTGCATAATTTTGGGCAACATCGCAGCAAACTCACAAACTTGGAGTTACTATCTGAATCAGGAGAATAGTCACCGGAGAGGTTTAAGTATTTCACGTCTAAAGTTGGCATTTGAAGTCTCATTCTAAAGTCATCAACAACAGCCTTGCAAAACAATACAATGAAAATTGGATCATTTGCTATAAACATTTTAATTAAAAGAACAATCTGTGTGAAACTTATGGGCTTAGAACACATGCCCCAATACCATCACAACACAAATGAAGTGCACAAATAGATCCCAAATCCATGTTCGCTGGGAGAAAACCACTCGGTTTGACTTCTCCATTGAGAGGGTCATAGCAAAACATATCGCTATCATCACATCCACTATCACTATTGTCATTGTAATCCCATTCATCATCATCGTCCTCTTCTTCGGACACAAGGAGTTCAAATAGTCTCTTTTTGAATTCATTTATATAATCATTTCTGTAGCGGTAGTCATCATCTTCATGGTAGTAATCATCGTCATCACTATCAGTTTGGTGGTCATTGTCATTGTCACGATCACGGCCAATGTAACATCCTTTGATTGATAAACTTCCAAGTTTCGGAGCAGTGATGTTGAAATGAGCGATGTCTTTACATCCTCTAAATATCAATTTTTGGAGCCTTGGAACATCAGTAGCGTGAAGTTGAGGACTCCTAGGGCTGAAGTCAACATAACTAAAACAAAAAGAAGTAACATTTGGAAATATGCAGCGGGCCTTTATCGGGTCAATTTTGACACCACAAGCTTGCACAATCTTTAGTGTAGGGCATCTAAATATGCAAGCAGGCAACCTGTATTTGATAGGATCATCGCTATATATCTTAATGTAGAGTTCTTGAACACCTTTCTTCGTCACAGAAAGGAACAACTTATCAAATTCCCGTTGATATACTTGGAGACTAAAATAAATGCCAAATTTTTTAATGCTTCCAGTGTGCTTCTTGAGGTACTCGTCGATGATATCAAGCCAAGTGGCTGGGTCATCGTCATAATCCGAGTAAATGTTATGATGGAAGACATCGTCAAAATCAAGTTCCGTAAGATTGTACCAAGCATCTCTCCAAATAGTGGATAAGACTGCACATGTAGCTGCTTCTCTAATTCACAATAATCCCATAATCTTGTCGAGCATATCTGCAGGGAGTTCACTTATTCTATCTGGCTCCTCCATAACCACATAGCTTAACATAAACAAGCCAAATACATAGCAACAATTAATTTGTATACAGATAGCTTAACTATAAAATTGTTGAACTAAGGTATAAATTGCAAGGGTTAGTTGTGAGCAGAAGCAGGGAATTACACATATCAGCAAAAAGAAGATATCCCAAATCGGATTCTCATATAGAATTTCAGAGGTATACATGTTATATCGCCAATGGGCCCACAAATTTGCAGGACGGGCCCTGCTAATGCTTCAAAGGAGAATACCATATTTGGTTCGGCCAAAGACAATTTAGAAAAGATGCAACTAATGCAAGAGGCTCAAATCAGCTAACTGGTCCGATAGACCGTTCATTAGAGTTTTCATTTAACAGTATAAATCACATGTGACAACATAAGATATTTTAATATATGGGATGGTGAAATAAACCCTGGCCTCTCTTTCACTCTTCTTTCTAGGGTGTTATTTTTCAGCTTCTTTGTTGCTTATCAAATGTCAAAAAAGTTATTTGGAATGCGTATGAGCACTGATTTATTCGCTAGTATGTCTAGGGTTTTTATTATTCTGTCAATTTCGATAGTTACTTCAGGAGTAATTTCTCCTCAAGTTAATGATGTTATAATGTTGTTTGAGTGCTATTGAAGACACTCTTCTAATCGTAGATCTACTTTTCTTAAAGATCATCTTATTTCTCAAATCGTCTATGGCACTATCGATGGCCCTAACCCCTCCCGAACCACCACCATTAATTGGAATGGTAGATATATATGGGAAATTGCCTTACATAGGAGTAAACAGTGTTTGAAATTCCAAAATAGGATTGTTGTGTTTTTCTACCGATATAAGAGTTGTTACTTCCATGATTGAAAAATAATGTTATGATTGAAAAATATTGCAGTTAATGATAGTGAATATTGTCATGTTTAATATCTACTACTGCAACTATTTGGTGGTAATGACTAGAAGATGACAATATATAATGTCATGTTACTCCTAATTCGAGAAGAAAAATATAACAGTCCTATTTTGGAATTTCAAAACTTATTTAGTCCTATTACAGGAACTTTCTCATTCTATATTTTTATCACTCGTGTGTTTCAGATTGGAATAAAAGTCATTGATGTTCTGTGGGCGATACATACCTACAGGTCTATTGGAATTGGGCGAAGGCACACGATTGTACAAGGATGGCTAGTTTCAAGCGTATTTACAATTTCATTTATTTATGCTCCTTTAATTATTCGTTGTTCATTCTTCTTGAATTCTTTTAGAGAAATTGTAGGTTTTCATATCAAGTTAGAATAGAGATCAACAAGGCAAATTAAACTTCCGTCTGTTACATGGTTATTGACTTTTGCGACTCATTTGTGGGTGGTATAGTCTAAGTCTAATCATTGATCTTCTTATTCGAGCGGGTATTATCTTGAGTACTCTATTGTAATGATGTTAAATTTATTTATTTCAATATAAGTTATTTCCATTCAAAAAAAAGATTAAAAGCCCTATAAAAAATGTGTTTGTAGTATGTAGAGTGCATATAAAGTCGGGACTGTGGGAGCAACTGCCCCCTCAACCCCTATATATAATCTAAAATTTTATTACAAATTGCTCAAAATAGTACTCCCTCCGTCCCGCTAAGATTGTCCCATTTTACCTTTTCGAGAAGTCCCACTAAGATTGTCTCATACCAAATTTGGTAAAGATTGTGTGGCTCTAAACCATTCTTACTTTATTTTTACTTTATCAATTTAATATCAACCACACAAATCCACTCTTCTTAATAATCGTGTCACCTTCTTCCGTCCCAATCTTAGTGGGACGGAGGTAGTAGTTAGCACTAGAAAAATTATAAAATAGAGCTAAGTTTTTTCTTCCTCAAATATAGAATTTATGTAATCTTGTTAAAAGAATAAATAGATAAAATTCCGTAAATAAAAGTGCATGCGTCTGACTTTGTGAAGAAAACAATAATACTTCTATTTGAGAAAATGTGTTATGTTTAACTTCTATTTACGAAATCTCTCAAAGTTTATCTATATTTACAATTTTGCGCACGCATAATATAAAATGATCTTTTTTATACATAGTTGTGCATTTATAACTTAAACTAATTTTAATCAAACAATATTTTTATGAAATGTGTGGCTAAATTGGAGTCCAAGTTTGTCTCCACTCAGAAAATTTTCTAAATTAGCCTTGTAAGATAGACACATCCGATCAAACTTGGCAGCCGCTTCATTATCATTTATCAAGCCTGATGGGTTGATAAGCTTTTTTTCTAAAAGCCGTTAGCTTTTAATGAAGAATAGCTCCACTTCTTCTGAATGGATTACAATATCTCTAGTTTTAAATTTATTCATGTTCCTCTCAAGTGTGTGTTGTACTCTAAGTTTTGGCAGTAATATATTTTTCATGTTAAAACCTTTGGTCCTTGTTGCCCAAAGTAGCAACTATTTAACGCTTAAAATGCTTTTGAAGGACTGAAGGAGATAAACAAAATGATAGGGCAATTTATTGGTTTAGCATAATGATTTAATGAGTCAACAGGAACATCGACTTCTTGTAGTTTTATGTTGATTTTTCTATTTTAAGCTCATCGAAATGTAGAAAACTAATTTGTAGTATGAGTACATTCTTATTCTAATTTTGATGAACACTTAATTCAAGTGGTTTATCGTTTTAGTGATTTGTCCAAGTTTAAACAAAGCTTGTCTTTTTAATATTATTGATCGAGCCATATTTCTCAATTTTATTTATATATCGGAAGTAGCCATTATTTTCATTCTTTAAAATGTTAAAGTTATTGTACCGTTTTCCTTCACTCAGAGAGGGGCACTACATCAAGTGCATATTTAGAATATCAATTCTTACACCTCACTCTTGTTGATGACAATGTAAAGGAGTAGGATTGTAAATGATCGGAGTATTAAATTAAATATAATACAACTTCCAATGGAGATATAAAGAGATACAATAAGATGTTTATAGGAGATAAAAGGGAAAAAGGGTGTGCTTAGTCTAATCAAAATTGATACATATTCCTTCTTCAAGGAAGTTGTAAACTCCCAATTTACAGAAACAACATTGGAAATTTGTTTTGATTTCCTACTCCCTCCTCTTTTTACTCTCTATGGTGACTTAAGAGGGGGGTAAAGGGAAACTAGTCTCTTCGGGGCCTTTTATTCTGTCGTTTGTCCTGCTCACGGTACCTTTCTCGCCGTTCCTCCCTCCTGCGCCTCTTCAAGACTTGCTCTTCCTTGGCCCTCTCCACCTCGGCTGCTTTCTTTTTCTCTTGGTCTTTGAGTTTACGCTTTTTAACCTAGAAAGAAAAAGCCAAAACATGAGAGGAGAATGGAGTATGTACACACCAATGTACTAGGTTTTCCCAGAATTGGCAAAAGACAAACCTTCTCACTCCTAATAAGACGGAGATGTTGAAGAACCCGTTGCAGCTTCTTCTCATTAGGTTCCATCACAACTGCCCTTCTTTTTTCCAGTGTTGGTCTCTTCCGAGCTGGAATATCTTTTGGTTTTGAAGAAAAGGGGAGATCCGCTAGTACCGATTTGGGAATAACAAACGGGTTGAACTTTTTCGGCTTTCTTTCAATTGGCTGTTGAATGTTGAAACAAAACATTAAGTACCAATACATACATGCAGCTAGGTGTATTCATAGAGAGTGTAGGGATCAAGTCATGCACATCTGACGGGTGGCCAATAATAAACTCAAAGTTCCGAATTTCTTTGTTCATTATCATTACAACAACGACATTACCCTAGTGCAGCAAAGGCTCCCACCTACGGTGGGGTAAGGGGGGTCGGATATACGCAGCCTTACCCTTGTACTAAAGTACAGGGAGCCATGATGAAAATAGCGTCGAAAATTGCATGGACTGACTCTTGTTTCATAACAAAGAAGGGCAGACAGTCTAGTGAGTCATTTTGCTTTATTCCATCATATTCCCAAGCCATCTTTGCTCATTATCATTGAAGTTGTTAATTTTTACCGTTCCAGATCATGTCAACAAGTCTTAAATGTTAGATAAAACCTACATGAGATCAAGCGAGTTTATAGCACCTATGTTCAAATAAATTAGATCTAACAGTTGAAATTAATAGTTGACACTAATGAGTAAAAAAATAAGTGATCTAATTGCCCAAATGAATGTTGGCCAGACCAACTTCAAGTCAGGATTGCGGGACAGGAATACTATATGTGTGTAACCATAATATGAACGCTAACAAACACCACATCCTTACCTTATACAATGAGTCCTTGTTGAGTGGTACAGGCAGGTTGTTCTCTCTCCTCAACTCAGAAACAGTTTTCATTCCTTCCCAGGTCTTGTCGCGTGGCTGCAATGCAGTAGTCAACGGATTGAAAAAACAAGGGACGTCAACTTGTGTCCAGGCACGCAAGAAAACAATGTCGCTCATCAGAATCCTATCCTCAAAGGTGCACCTAGCAATCCCTTCTTTGGCAAGACCACCCTTTTTTCTAGCTTGGTTACCAATCTCCTCTCCAGCAGCCTTTTTTATATTTTTTATTGAACAAGAGAGAAAAAATAATACCAGCTCAGAGTAGTTCACAACTTAACATCATCAAGATCATATAAGTTTAAAAACCGAAGCACAAAAACAAGACTAGGAGACAATAATACCTTTTTAACCTGCCCACGGATTCCACTAACTGTTCGAATAGCTGCACCTTCAAACCTGGCTATTTCAAGATCTGAAGTGAACATATCCTTAATAAGTGCTGTCTTCTTGAAGATTTTACATGGGTAACCAACTAGCTTGATCTTTTTCACTATCCGTGCAGCATGATTGAACTCTAGCACGGTCCCAGTTGCTGTAATTCTAAAATCTGCCTGAAGTATGATGAAAAAGTAGCAGCAGTACTAATAGTTAGCAAATTTAGAGTATGAAACAGTGACTGCACTATAAAATTAATGTTATATACTTGTATCGCTAAAAGGCAAACGCATCCAAATTCAGGGATTAGGAGTGTTTCAGAAGAAACAGATAACCACCTGATTGTTTGATAATTTCTGCACAGCAATCATTCCAGTGCGGGGTGGGGCCAGAGGACCCCAAAACATGGCAAGACAGTGCATGTGTTCAGGTGTGTACTTAAGCATACGACAGCGACCATTCAGGTCCTCAATAGCATAAACTGGAGTTGTTTGGTAACGCCTCCATCCCATAGAAACAATTATTGGATCTCTTGTCTTCAATACTTTCCTGTGCCACCGGTGCCTCTTTATCCGAAGCTACAGATCAAATGTGTAAGATTCTGAAACTGGGTTCTAAAGCATTTAACGAATATAAC